TAAAACGACATTGTAGAACTACGACAGAGACGAATATTTTTTTTTCTGTTGCGCTATGTCGGGTATAACGAATATGAGTAATGCAGCGTTTGCCGATATGTCGAGTAAAACAACTGAAAGACTTATACATAATCATCCAATGTTGAATACTCAAACTAAGAGCGTAAGTAAATTATAAATATATGTATATATATTTCTGAGAATCAGGAAAAGTGCATATTAAACTTTGACTTATTATACTGATAAGACGAGACAGAATCAATTTTTCATATATGAAATATATATATACATTGATTGAAAAAGAAAATTGAGTAATGAATCAATCATTAATGTTAGTCCTTCTTTCAATCTGATCATAATCATCCATTGAAGTAGTAAATCGTGATGTATTCTACTAGTCTCAAGTATATCCTTTCGAATAGTGTAGCAATTCATACATATATATATGTATGTGCATATGTATGTACCTGTCTTATTTTGAGTCGATCTAATTTCACTGTCTAAACAAACTGATTGTATAGAGAAAACGATAGAGACTAGCCGATTGAATCACAGACACATGTGATTTTTTTTCTTCATTTGCTTACTCTTCGGGCAAAAGAATATTGTGTTTGTTTTTCTACTTCGGTGCTCTACGGATGCCGCCGTCACATCCATCATGCATAGTAATGATTTGAATAACATACCGATTGTAAATCATTTTTGCTTCATTTGTTTCGTATGGAAGTGTGCAATATAGATTGATTCGATGTCCGACTTACTTGCCCAGTGTTTGACGGATCATTTCCTGAACTTAATGTATTATTCTTTTCTTTTTCTTTTTACTATAGCCAATGACTCTTCAACGACAAGAAATTAAGGAGCGTTTGGATACAACACCACACAATAAAACAGTCGTCGATTTAGATGAAATTATTGAAAAATGGGTAAGTTGAAAGATATCATGCTGATTGTACATATATATATATGAAAAGAGAACACAGCAGGTATATATGACACTATGTTACTAGCAGACTGAACATAATCGAATAACATGAATTACATCATATGACGAGACATATTTAACAGATGATTTAAAACAGAAGAAAAGAAAAAGTCATTATGTCCAATTTTTAAATAAAACGGAAATATGTTCTTGAAAGATTCTAATAAGGAAATGGTGTCAAATTCATTTTATAATGAATAAAATTTGGAAATAGGAGATGTTAAGAACATGTCATCGTACGCTTCCTTTCACAAATCAATTTTAATCTGTCTATCGAGGAAAAGAAAAACATGTCGGTCTTTGTTTTTTATCGAAATTCCGCTTTGATTTACTTATTGAAACATATCATTGATCAAAGAAATAGATAAAAAAATTCTCATGAGAAAAGAAAAAGAAGAATGTTAATATGAAGTTAATTAGAAAAGAATCTAATATGTCTAACTATTTTTTTTTTGTTCTTCATCTTATTATATTTATTTAGGTATGGAAAATGTGGGAATTATCAAAACGTAGTCGAGAAGATTCCAAATATCGCCGTGAAGAACTCGATGTAAAATTAAATTGGAAACGTGTTAATTTCTGGCAATCAGAAGCTGTTTTTACACGACCAGCTCAATTACGTATGCCAAAATCTCAAATATTATTTAAAACACATTTTTCAAATAATACTGAAAGTGAACAAGAATATTCTTTACGTGCTGAACGTACAACTGTAACAACATTAAATTTTACCTTTATGCGTGGTTTTACAAAAGAAAAAGAAGGTTGTGTAACATTAAAATTACCAAATGAAGTTTTAGAAGTTGGTGGTGGTCTTCGACATGAACAACGTGTAGATTTTGGAAAAGATTCAACATTTGAAACACAAATGACATGGTCAGCTGATTCAGCCATTCGTGTTGCACCACATTCAAAAGCAAATGCTGAGTAAGAATTATATTTTTTTTTTATCAAAATATTTTCTTCAATTCTTATAATTTTATTTAGATTAAGTATCAGTGAAGAAGAATATTCAGCTGATTTTTCTGTTGAAGTACGTTTTAGTGGTCGAATATCGGCTATGATAAGTACAAGAAATAATGCAGGTGGCTATTATAAATATATGGAAGGTGATTTAGCAACAATATTTGCTGAACAATTACGTACAGGTGGTTCTGGAGCAAGTGCTGGTCAATTTGAAGTTCATGAACAAACACAAACCGTTCGAACAGTTATGTTAGGAAAATGCGCATTTCGTTATGGTATTGAACAACATGTTAATGTTGAACAAGAAAAATTAACTGATTCATCTTCATCATCATTTAAAACAACTGAACCACCACCAAGATATCGACCACTTTTTGTACCAAATAATACTCATTAATATAACGTTTTCATTTCTTTTTTTTATTAATATAGTCATGAAATTCTGTTTTTCTTGTATATTTATATGTCCGGTTTATCTTTTTAGAACGAAAAAAAAATATACGATCAATAATCTCAGCGTATCATGAATCATACTAAAAGTTATATTTTATAGAAAAATGAATGACCTTGACATCAATAATACAATAAGGAGTAATGAACTATTCATCGTCATTATTCTTCTAATGTATTTTATATTGATTGTCAACATTCATATTCTCATTGAAATTATTTCAAGCCCTTAAAAACCACTTTCATACATATATACCGATATTTTTTTCAAATCTTATATGGTTCATAGATTAATTCTATCTTTTACCATTTAAGCTTAATTTTCTAAATTTAACCAATGAGACAAATCTCAATTGTACTGTATTTATACAGCCTTTGGCTACCCTAGACTGACAATACATAATTAAATTGGCATGTGTCGTCTTATATAAAGTTAATACAGCCATCAAAAATTAGACTTCGCTATAGTAATTTAGTACAAACATATAATTATAGTATGCATTTATAAAATGAATTGTCACTTTTATCTATCCAAGATAATCTATAAGTAGTTAATGGAATTTGTCATTGCAATACTAATACTGTTAGACTTGTCTGTTTCAATCAAAACTTCGTTAAATCTCTTATTTCAATTCTTTTTTTATATACAATTAATTCAAAACCTTACCAGAATTTGTTTGTAGGATTTACCTTTTCAAATAAAATTCAAGGAAAAATAATTTAATACAATTTTTAGGATAATTTGTACAGTATCTTCACATGGATTGCTTTTTTAAAGTTCGGCAATTGTTTGGAACCATTACATGTCAGTAATATAAATTTCGTATTATTAGATGCATATTTTTAAATTTCTTATATGATTATATTAATAAAAAAGAACGAAGATGTTGAATACTTTTCTTTTGTAAATGTTATTCCAGAAAAAAATGCTTTAAAATCTTTCAAATCAACAATAATTCGATTTTTAGTCAAAAAAATCTTCTAAATCAAATATAATTTTGATTAAAACCATACAAACTTGATTTACTATATTTGTAATCAGAACTACATGATTTTAATTAAAGTTATATTTGATTTAGAAGTTTTTTTTTAACTAAAATTCGAATTGTTGTTGATTTGAAAGATTTCAATCGATTATAATCTTACATAATGAGGTATAATCTGACAATTTTTCACTGGGTAGTTTCGTTGAATAAAGCGATTCAATGTCCGACAACGTATATTTCTAATGAATATCAATTAAGTAGAAACTATTAATCATAAATAGTGTTAAATTATATAGTTGTTTTTATTTCTATATAAAATGTAAATACTGCAATACTTTTTCTGATGTCTTACAGTAAAAACCAGAATATTCTAATTCTAATTAATGCACTATTATTTATGTAATCGAAATAATGAGGGTGTTTATATCATTGAAAAAACATTTTTTTCATTACATAGCTTTTTTACAGAATGCATTTTTGAATATGCAGAAAAAAAGATTGTGTATCGATGTTATAGTTTCATTGAATGGAAAGATATATTTTATAAAATTTTTCAAATTCATTGTAACACAAAAACATATTCTGTTTTTAAACACGTATTTGATTTGAGAATCATAAGAAATATGTTAAATTCATTATTATCTAAAAACCTGAAAGTATGTCAGTTTCTTTTTCTTTTACATAGATAACAATGCATAGACATAGTTTTTTTTTCTATCGTATCGACAGATAATGGCATTCCCAGCATTTTATAACTATGATTCGTTCTCGTACTATGTTTTATACAAAGATAAGAGAAAACTACACTTGTCTGTATACAGATACGTATTTACAGAGGAGAAAAATAATGCTGACTAGTTCTCATCGACAGAGAAAGAAAAAAAATATCTATACGAAAAACAATAATATGCACACGTTTGACCTAAATAGAAAGATTTTGCTGATGACATGATAAAGTCAATGTACTTCATATACAAATAATATATTGCTAAACCATTGGCCTTTTGAATGCGCGTATATGCATAGTTTAGACATGTGGTACTTCTAACATACCACAATTGTTTTTTCACACACCCCTCGTGATTTAGCTTCAATTTTGTACCATATAAATACCCGTAGCTCACCTAACAATAAATATATATTAAAAAAAAAATTCTCTTCAAACGAAATAATATAATTAAATGACAATGTCTGGAAAATCAGTAAGATTAAATAAATTATCATATATATATATCGATTATTAATAATTATAGTCTAATTTTGCTTGCTTCTTTGATGTTGATGGTGTTATAACTAAAGGACCAAATGTTATTCCTGCTGCTAAAGTAGCTCTACAAGAATTGGTTCAATGTAATGTTCCGTATGTATTTGTTTCCAATACATGTATGTTAGAATCAGAAAAAGCTAAACAATTATCTGAGATGCTTGAAGTCCCTGTAAGTCTTTTTTGTGCTGTATAATAAAAGTATTTTATTAAAAATCTCGTTGATTATATGTAGGTACTTGCAGAACAAGTTGTTTTGGCTCATACACCTATGCGTTGTTTAACTGAATATCATAGTAAACATGTATTGATATGTGGACAAGGTCGAATTGAAGAAATCGCACGAGTGTAAATATAATTGTTGCTTTTTTTTGTATATATATGAAAATTATTCTTTTATAGAGTTGGTTTTAAAGATACAACAACTATTGAACGATTATGTAACACTTTTCCTGAATTAGATATGGTTGATCATACACATCGAACAAACTTAGTAATACATATTAATTTAGAATTTTTCTTTGTATTATTTTATTTTTTTTTCTAGAGTGAATTGATCAAAACACAAGGTCTTGTTCATGGTAAAGATTTTCGTCCAATTGAAGGTAAAAAGAATGCATCTTTTTTTGAGTATTATTCATATAATCATTGATTATTTATTAGCTATTGTACTTCTTGGTGAACCAATTCATTGGGAACAATCGTTACAAATAATTACAGATATTCTTTTAACTCATGGCAATCCAAATATTACATCAAATTCTTCTAATATTGGTGATCATATACCGATAATTGCATGCAATAAAGATTTAGTATTTAAAGCTGTTGCTGATTTGCCACGTTTTGGTCATGGAGCATTTTTAACATGTCTTGAAGCATTGTATAAAGTATGAATATTTTTCTTTCTATTAATATATTAATGATTAGATTTATTTTGTTTTTTTAGAAACTCAGTGGTAATGATCTAAGGTATACTGCACTTGTTGGTAAACCATATGAAATTTCATTTCAATATGCTGAAATGATGGCTAATAAATTAGCTCGTAGTAAAGGTCAACCAAAAATTGAACGAATGTATTTTATTGGGTATGTTTTTTTCATATTATTATAATAATAATATTATTTAATTCTTTAAATTCTTTAGAGATAATCCTGAAGTAGATATTGTGGGTGCTAATATTTATAATGCCTTTCTTGAAAGTGCAAAAGCATCTAACAATAGTTGTACAGGCTCTGGACTTTTGTCTCATCCACGTTTATTAAGTGCAAAATTATGTGAATCAATTCTAGTTTGTACTGGTGTATATGATCCAAGTATACATACGCTTAATCCAAAACAACCATGGTCAATTCCAACAACAATTCAAAAGGATGCATCAGATGCTGTTACTTATATTTTAAATAAAGAAAATTTTATATCGAATTTTCGTGTGTAAAATTCTTTTTCTTTTTGTTAAATAAATCTGTACTAATGAAAAAAATTGTTTCTATTTAAATATGATATAATAAACTGTTCGATCGTTTCAATGATAAAATATATTACTACCATTATTATACAAATACTTTCAGTATGTAATAGAAGACTTTGTATTCATGTTGTATATAATTGATTCGTATTTTATTGTTCGATGAATATAAAGATATCATCTATGAATGAATGTAAAACCAATCAATTGAAATACAATACATCATCTTTTTCTACTATGATATGAACAGATCACTATTAAAAATCTTTTCATAATATATAATATCCTTCAATGATATATTTCATGAATACCTTCAAGAATTATATCGATTACAGACAACAATAGAAAATATCTGAAATCTTCTATCAATCATTTTAGTACTTATATTTATTTATCGAGCGGTAATACAGTGCAAAATATGTTCGAGCAATTAGCGATATGTAAGGTTAATCAGTATTACACTTAACAATATATATAATAAAATGATAGCATGTTTGTCTGTATATGAAAGAAAAATATTATTATATTCACATTTGTCTATTGTTATATGAATAATGTAACTATTTATAAACATCATTTCATCAGAAAGAAGAATCGAGAAAGAAAAAGAATAAATGAATTAATGTATATTACAATCTGTATGAAATATTTTTTCTCATTTTTTCTAAAAATATATATAATTAAAAAGATTATTAATCACTGAAAAATACGATTGATTTAGAGAGAAAAAATGAAATTGCATGCTAGTTATGATCGAATAATCGATAATAAACTTGATTTTATATAGAAATATATTATAATCAACCTGATGACGCATAAAAATAAAAACCTAACAACCCCGATCATATGACTACAGACGTCATTAAAGCTATACTAAAAAATAACTATTACCTTCTTCAATTTATAAATGAAACGAATAAAATATTTCTGTCAATTCTATTACAAATCATGATCATTGGTTTGTTCGTAATAATTCAAGCATATCCTTTGTCAATATCTAAAACGCAATATTATTGCACAATAAATTCATTTGACAGTTGTTTAAACATTGAACATATCTATTATAGTATGCTTTATTTCATTTATATTGATATCTATCAAGTATATTTGTTAAACTAGTCATTATTCATTAGATTCGAAATTACGACTAATTTTTATTTTTATATTATCATTAAATTTGATTTATTAATAAAATATAATCAATGACGAATGTACTTTTGTTTACTAAATGACGTTTGTGAATTATCTCTATTATTTATCAAATCGAATTATTCCATTCTTTCTTTTATCGATCTTGTTAATAAATATACATATTTTTCAAGTCAAACGGTAAATTATATCATAAAATCTATTATACAATATACATGTTTTCTTTCTACATAAACAACCTATTACATGAAACATGGTATGCATATAAATTATATCAAATAGATGCATCGGTAGTATTTGATCGATCGAATCGAAAAACAGAATTGTATGAATCATTTCAATTTTCCGTTTCCGTTTTTTGTTTTTATATATTCAATCAAAACAAAAATAAATCATTCATGACTAGTTACAATACAAAATCTAAATTATTAGTTTATTATTTAGAAAATAAAACAAAAAAATAAAAAAAATATTTCTATAACAAAAATCTTAGTTTTTAAAACAAAATGCGAACATTAAAAAAGCAAAACTGTTCAAATTCTTTAATATACACATAAATATTTGTTATAGAAAAAAAAGAAAAAAGAGAAATTTACATATATTCAAAGAATTTTTAGTAATTGGTATTCTATTTATAAATTAGTATTTTAACACTAAATTATAGAATACTCGAAAAAAGATCTTTACACATTAACCTTGAATCTATGTCCATAGAGAGTAATAGGTAACCGGAAAAATATCACCTGACATATTCAATCACAAATTTGTTATGCGACAAATATGTATTGAGATTAAACACGTAGATATAAGGAAAAAAAATGACATTTTTACTTATTTTGTTTTTTATCGATCGAATTTAATATGGATCGTAATAATTTCTATTAAATAATTATAATCGAGTTATTAATGGTTGATCTTTATCTTTGGTTGATATACTCCTATTACAACTAGTTGAACGTAGTTGTCTATGTTGTCTTAATTCAAGTAATGTTTCCATTAATACAACTTCTAAAGATTGACATAGAAGTTCATTATCTGGATCATCGGAATTAATTGATTGTAAATAATCATCATCTGTATCTAGTAAACTATTTGATTCATAATCATCATTAAAATTTGTTATTGATGATGACGTAAATACACCTGAGTCAGATTGATTATCCATTGCGACTCGTCTCGCATTTAACATCCCACTATTTGATGAATGACGATAATGAATAAAACGATTTCGTGCTCGTCGAAGTACTTTTAATAAATATCGATCAGCATTCATTGATGTTGGTGATGATGGTGCTGACAGATTACTATTGAAAATAAGAAAAAGAAAGATCAGTTGTATTCAATATCTGAAAGAGAAGAAAACTTACTCAGAATTATTATTTATCTGCATTGTTGTTTCTAACCAAGCATCTACGGAACTTTTATTAATACTTTCTCGATGTTGTAATGATGATGTTTTAATTTGTCCACGAAGATCGACTAGAGTTGTTAAATTTTTTAAAAGACGTGTTCGTTTTTTCACTGGTTTCATATCATCTGCTGTTGAATGATCTTGTAAATGCCATTGAATAAATTCTTCTTTAGATATCTTTCCATCATTATTTGTATCTATTGCATTAAAAGCTTGTTCATATGATAAATTATCATTTATACCAGTTTTATATTGACCAAGAAATTGTGCAGCTAATTTTTTTCGTGAATTAAATTCTTGTCGTGTTATATAACCTTGATTATTGATATCAAAAAAATTATATAATGTTTCAATTGTACGTAAACGATTAGCACCAGTTAATGCTGATAGAGCATAAATATATTCATTAAAATCTAATTGTCCATCATGATTTTGATCATATATATCAAACATCATAGAAAAAAATTTTCTACTTTGTCGATAATTTTGTCTTGATATTAATGTTTGAAAAAATATATTTGATCGTGTTGATTTATGATATGATGTTTGTACAGCTGATTTTCGTATAAATGCTAAAAATTTTCGTTTTGAACAATATCCATTTGGACAATCACGAAAAAATGTTTCACGTGCAAAATTAATATCATTATCACAGAAACCTGTTTCATTATCATTGTATGACGCCATTTTTATCTGTAATAGTCAACGATATTATGTTATATATCGCAATACTTATACATTTATACCTATGTATATGTGTATAAAGAACGGTGATGATACATAACGATTGATGTTTTTTTTTGATTTATATTATATATGACAAAAACAAGTCAAGCGAGAAGCAATATGCGTATAGTACACTATCATATACATTTTTTTCCTCTGTTGTTTCCTTCATTTTGTAAGATATGGAGTCCATCAGTTAGTTTCTTTTTTTCATCATTCCTTTTGACGTTATATATAAGTATACATTGACGAAGATATAAGTAGCATGTCCACAATGGCTGCTGTATTGTATGCTCAATTAAAAGGTCAAGCAAATAGATGGGCGACGGGAGTGAATGGCGGCCGATCACTTACTTTTCTTTTTTTTTGTATATTTTGATAGAAGTAAAGCAAGGAAGAGGATTAGATACTGTCGGCTCAAACTGTCACTATCATATGTATTGAGAACTAGTTTAATGTTCATCATCATCATCATGCACTGTCTACAGGCTGCTCTGATTCGATAAAGTTAACAATAGATCTATATACTACAAAGGTGAGTACATGATTCTAATGTTCATATCTTCATTCATATATCCGATCTACAAATAAAAATACTTTTAATTCAATCTATACTCATATTCCAATGAGAAGAAAAAGTTTTTTTGTTTTTTATAATAAAATAAATTAATAATCACAGATGTAAATTATTCTAAATTTTACATTATAAACGAGTTTATTTATATATATATGTAACTATAACAGAATTTAAAATATTCAATCGATCTCTTCGATATTCTTCTTTTTAGCAAATACATATACAACAGATTTATGGTGCGTGATAAATTCATTCTAAAGCTTTTAACATAAATAGTGTGGTTATAAGACGATGTACATGTGTATGCATATAACAGATTACTTTTTTTACTCTGTTCAACATAATTCAAAGAAAATGATTTGTGTGTGATATAACACTATTCTAGTTACTTTTTCTTTCTTATATTTGACCATGAAAATGTACGAGACGTAATAAAGATTATATCGATATGTATATCCATCTTATATATATATATATTCATTGCACACTTGCCAAGTTTGAATACAATACAAATGAAGAATATAAAGAAAAAAAGATTTGAGATTAAATAAGTTAATGGAAAAATATTCGATCTTGTCTTTTGTTAGTTGTGTTAAAAGAGGAAATATTTTACATGAGATGGATATGTACACTTCTATACACCATAAGCAAACATTGCCTCGTGCGAGCATTCATTGTGTATATGTATACTCCAATTATTCATATAAATGTAGACGTGACTCTAGTCGAGTATTCGATTTTCGCTCTCTCTCTTTCTCTCATCAACATCTTTAATGACATATATTGCTCTTCTTTTTTTTTATATTTATTTTCATTGTTCACTTAAAAATTGATGTAGTTTATAGACATATATATATTACATATCTCATGGTATATTTGTTAGAAAACGAGAGATGATAAATTTCATATATTCATTTGTCTAGTTATCATAATGGATGAACAATTGTTTTTTTCTTCAACATCATCTTCACTATTTGATACTTATCTTGTATATGGTATCATTGGTCTATTAACATTAATTGCAATTATTGGTTTAATTATTCTATTATCAACATCATGTTGTTGTTGTTATTGTTGTTTATCTCCAACATCATGTTATTCATGTTATTTTCATAAACGTCGACATTCAACATATAAATTACGTCAAAATTCTAAACATCCAGAAAAATTAGGAAATAATGATACGAAACCAATTTCTTTTATACGAAGAAAATCAAGTGATATTGCTGATTTTTCACAATTATATGATTCATGTCCACATTTAATCAATAGCAAACTTATGACACCAACAAATGCAAATATGGATACAAGTTGTACAACAATTGATACACTTGTTAGTCCTGTATCACCGTGTAGTTCATTTCGTTCAGTTGTTGTATCTGGAGCAGTACCACCAGATAATAAAAGTAAGTTTCCATTTTAAATATGAATTGATGAAACTTGTTTATGATTTATTCTCTTTTTCATCTAGCTATTATCGTACAGAATGATCTCAGTAATCTACCACAAAAAAGTAATATAAGTATTGATAAAACTAACAAGGTTGCATTATCAACATCTGCTAAAGGTAAAAAATAATCCAAATATTTTTGTTTTGTTATTTTAATAAATCAATTAGGTATATGTTCTCGACCATTTTCTTATATAAAAAATACAAATGATCGTACAAAAATTTTACGTCGTTTAACTCAACAAGAACATTCTATTCCTGCCGATGCTGTATCAATTGATGTAACACGTATAAATACAATGGAAAATGATAATAATAATCAAATAAATTCAAATTCGACAAATATTTATGAAACAGTTCTTCCAACAACACCATCAACTAATAATAGTATATCATCAGATATAACTACACCTATTTATGAAAAAGAATGGACACATAGTTTAAGACAATTAATGATGCCACAACCAACATTATCATCATCAGTAGCAATTGAAAATGAAGGCATTTCTATTATTGAACTACCTTCACCACCACCTGATTTAATTTCATCAACAAAACAATCGACTGATTATTTTCAACAACAAAATCCATATGATAAATTTTTATCAAGTCGAACAACAACATCTGATTCTATGAGACGAGCTAATATGCTCAGACGTTTAAAAGACGATGCCGCATTTCTTTATTAAAAAAAATTATTTTTATGTTTACAATACCATATGTGTTAACTTTCTTTCTTCTTCTTTTCGTTATGTTTTCATTGACAGAAAAAAATAACAAAATTCAAAACATACGATCAGAGATTACTGTATAAAAAAAATGAAAGTACAGATCGTAATTAAATTAAGAAATTTTTTTCAAATATATTTCACTATTAATTACAATCACTAAGGTAAGAATATACGAAATGAATTAGAGTAATGATTAATTTTTCAAAATCAATATACATCAAGTAAGCTGTCATGTAACCAATGACAAAGGCAATTATTTGTATTTTTTTTTAAATATGCTTCGATGATTTTGTTTATATTACTGCTGTCATTTTGATTAAATATCATAGATTTTATTGAGCATGCTGGAAATGATTTTGTACTTTTCAAAAGTAAGTCAGTCGATCTTATACTCGAATTTATAATGTAGGAAAACGTTTTGAAATTAATTTTACATAGGATAAATCATAGTATTTAAAGTTATTCGATAAGATGAAAATGCAATTTATAAGTATTCTTGATCGCTTGAACTGATGGTTTATGTCACTTTATTTTGTTTTTAATGAACACTAGTAATTAAATTTACAAGTACATATAGTCGAAATTCATCTAAAAATAAGATGCCAAAAATGCAACAAATTGTTTTCTTTTCATTTATTTATACATGGTTCGATAGAGCTCATCGAGCTGAGTAAGATTATGTCAGTTTTTATATTTTTTCGAAAGGTTTTCGGTGAAAAATTTTGATTTTTGTTCAAAATGCTGAATGATCCATTTTCTTAAAAAACAAATTAATTCCACAAATAAATAATACGGGTAAATTTAATAAAAAAACGTTTAACAAATGTTTTATGAACAATGACAATAACATCAGTAAATGATGAACAGAATTTATTAAAACGTATTCTTCCATATCCATCGTCATTATTTCCATCAAAAATTAAATTAGCAGAACATTTAGCTAAACAATTAAGAATATCGAATCAACAACTATTAAAACTTTCGAACGTTATCAAAAAAAATGATCCAACTGATGATTATCATCATTGACTATTTGATCCAAATAATATTGAATCATATAAACAATTTATTTCACTTTTATATGAAAAAAATGATGATGCTATTGGAAAACAATTTGTTTCAAAATCATAAATATATGAAGATCAATTTCTTAAATTAGATTCACAAGGTTAGTTTAAATTATATTTTTAAAAAACAAAGCAAAAACTTTTTCATGTTTATATTGATCAAATTTTAAACCTGTTGAAATTGTTTCCATGAGATACTTGAGTTTCTGATAAAGTTATATTGGTGTAGGTTTTTAATTATTTATTTTTTCTTAATAGATGTTTCATCACCATTACTTCGTCTTCGTATTGAATTACTAATGTATGCTTATACACGTTTTATAAATTCATGTCATATGGAAAGAATATGTTTAGTACTTGTTCATGCTCGTCATATAGCAATTTTACTTAATTTTATTATTATCATCAATAAGTAATATGCATGATGAACGTTTAAATACAGCATTATTTGATTTTATAACACCACATCGTCCAAATGATGAACATACATTTACATCAATATCAATGAGTTTAAATATGCATCATGAACTAGCAATAAGATATCGTGATGCAGGAAAAAGATTATTAAAAATATTTCGGTTTAATCAACAAACATCATCAGCTCATCTATCAGTTACATTACAAAGTTTACTTCAATATCATTCTGATCCAGCTGATACATTTTATTTAGCTGAATGTTGCTGTCAAAGTGAACAATGTTTAAAACAAGCACGTCTTTTATCATTACAACTTGAATTATTACCACGTTTTGAACATTGTTGGCATGCATTTATTATAGATGATGCTTACAATGAACATACATTATAATCGTATTGTTCAACTGAATAATTTATTTGTAATAAAACTTTAAATGTAATTAAATATTGGGAAGAATTTCGACAATTAATATCAACAATAGAAAAAATTTATTAAAAAAAATTTTAATACAATATCAAGTAAAAATTTTCAAGAAATAATTGCATATATAACATTCAAATAGTCGTAATCGCTTGCAACAAATATTAACAACCAGTGATAATAATTATTTAAATTTATTTACATCTATTGATTCACCATATCTTCTTGATATAATTCGTGTTGCATAATAAAAATTATTTTTTCTTCTTTTTGTGATATATATATTTTCTTTTTTTGATTTAACCAGAGTAATATAAATGTTGAAAAAATTTGAGAGACTTCATATAATATAATAGTATATATTGATTAAGTTTTTTTATCGAATAAATATAGGAGAATAAATTCATACTTTGATTGTATTGATTTGTAATTTGGATCATGAACAAACTATTTTGTTGTTTTGTTTATATTTTTAGTCTTTTTTATTACAAGGTAAATTACTTGATTTGAAAAAAATATATATCGTAAGAGAGAAAGTATACTCTATTTTGCATCATAATAATAAACATACTCCATTCTTATTCTTTGTATAATGCGACGAAGGACAATGAGATAGTTTTTATAATATATTGTTTACTGTTATGAAGTTTGATATCTTATGATCGTAAACAACAAACAACAAAGTCAGCCTTGATTATAAAATTAGAAATAAATTATATCATATATTTTTATATACCGCAAAAAAGAAACGAGTGCATCCAAACTAAATGATAATTTAATCTCGTATTTATTTATATTTCTACATAAAAATTGTTTGCAATATAAAAATTACAATCATTAGTTGGTTTTATTTGTTCCAGATTTTTATTGTTTTAAAACAAATAAAAGAAATATTAATTAAACTTTTGTTAAAAATGAGATTGTCTTAAGTTTCTTACTTCGAAAGTAAAGCTGATGACAAATAATGAATTATCAGTGTTCTTTCAACATATGATAGTTTGAATTCTTGATTTCGATAATATAAATTTGATTTTATTCTACTATAATCGTGAATATTGAGAATTTTATGAAAACCTCAAAGTCATTATTTCGAAATCGAGCTTCGCATCGCATTTTTCTAGTTCAAGAAGAAAATATTACAATAATTCATAAAAAAAAAGGCAGAATTTGATAAAAAAAAAACTCTGTTATTATCATCGTACTACTATTATTTTTTTAAATCGATTAATAGAACAGCTATTATGCGAAATATTAGATAGGTAAAAGATAAATATTTTAAATCAAAAAATACTTATTGTTTCTCATGCACATATAATTCTTTTTATTTTTTCTGCATAGAATCGTTTTATAAATTTAGATACGCAAGCCATATCTTCTTAGTCATCATCCCGTATCTTTTTTACTATCATTATTCTCCTTTTTCGTTCTGTTCTCTTTTTCTCTAAACAACGTGTGTGATTTTGTTTCATTCTTCTTTACCATGAGTATATACAAATGTCATGGTTGGATAAATATGATAGTTTTAATCCTTGTTTCTTCTCATATGATATCAAATACAACTATAAGCAATCATATCATTGTAAATTTGTTTTTAAATACTGTTTTATATAAAATCAACCCTAAATAAGTTAAAACATTTTCAAGCCTATTTTATTTGTTCATAAAATAAAAAACAGTCCGAAAATGCTCGATTTTCGAAAGAAAATATTTTTCAAAAAGTGAAAAATCAAAATTATTATTCTTAATGTCTCAAATATATTATTTTCAAAGATTTAATAATTTTTCGATGAATTGATGAAAGCATTCCTGGAATATTTATTCTTCATGGAACTCTTATAACTTATTTTCTAGTTTACAGTTTATCATAAGATTTATATCATGTGTGATGATTCGATGCTATTTTGCATTATTTAGAGAGACAGAAACAATTAAAACTTATCTCTAACTAATTTTTATTATTAAAAATGAAAAAAAGAAATATAAAAAAGAAAAAAGGAAAAAGTGATAAATAAAATATGCGAGAATAAATAAATAGTTAAATGATTTTAATATTGAGACAGAAAAAAGAAAACATAAAAAGAGAAAAAAGGAAAATGGCGGATGAAAAATGTTGAACTAACTATATGTTTAAAAAAAGTCAATATTTCGTATTTTGTGTGCCAGTAAATGCAATTCGTCGTTTCTATGAAAAAAACAAAGAAGCGTTCAGCCGAATACTACATCTTGGTTGAAATGATAATCTAAAAAAAACATATAAAAAATAAAATAGAATATCAGAACTATTCAGTTTTAAATAAATAAATAATGTCAAAATAATATCCTTACCATTTGCTTGAAAAAGTCATGCAAATATGTAACTCGCTTTATAACAGTATTGAAAAGATGTACTATTGACTAAGAAATACCGAAAGGAGAATAAATCATCATAAGATTGCCTTCACGTATTTTATACAGTTTCAAGGAATATTTGTACGAGCTGCGTGACTGATGAGCATATGTGACTTATAAACTGTTTGCACAAATACTTGATACAACTATTGTAATCACTTTGCATAGGCCTTTTATTCGACCAGCTGAATAATGAACAAACAACAGATAGATAAGCCATATAAAGATTGTATACAAGTATTTCATTTCGTTCGAAAAGCAGTTTCTCGAACAGTTTACCATACACAAACAAATGATAGATGAATAAGTCATAGCAACTTTCAATTCTAGTATTTTATTTTGTTCGAAGAACACCTTATAGACCAGTTTAACATTCAAAAACAGATGATAGATGGATAATTCATACGAATATTCTGTTCTACTATTTTAGATAGCTCAAAGAAATATCTCTAGAACACTTTAATATGCAGAAACAAATAACACATCATTAAGTCATATTAAAATTGTGTACACGTATTTTTTTTTTGTTCCAAGAACAGTTTTTATAACAGTTTAATATTAACAAACAAATGAATCATGAATAAATCACAGCAAGATTCTATTCTAGTAATTCGCTTCATTCGAAAAACAATTTCTAGAACAGTTTAACTTTCACAAACAAATGAATGATAAATAAGTTACACGAAGGTTCTGTTCTAGTCTTTTACTTCAATCGAAGATCAAGCTCTAGAGCAGTTCAACACTCACGAACAAATAATAAATGAATAAGTCATACCAAGATTCTGTTCTAGTATTTTGCTTCATTCGAAAAACAATTTCTAGATCACCTTACCATTTATCAGCAAATGATCTATGAATAAGTCATACCAAGATCCTGTTTCAGTATTTTACCTTGTTCTAAGAACAGTCTCTACAATAGTTTCATATTTAAAAACAAATGATAAGTAAATAAGTCTGAGGAATATTCCCTTCTAGTATTTTATTTCGTTCAGAGACAGATTTCTACATCAATTTAATACTCAGAAATAAATGATAAATGAATAAGCCATAAGAAGATTGTTTACAAGTATTTCTTTTTGTTTGAAGAAAGATTTCTAGAAAAGTTTAACTTTCACAAAGGAATAATAGATGAATAAATCACAAGAAGATTCTGTTTAGTATTTTACTTCGTTTAAGGAACAGTTCCTAGGACAGTTTAATATTCACAAACAAACTATAGATGAATACCTCATATCAAGATTCTGTTCTGGTATTTTACTTCATTTGAAGAAGAATTTCTATAACAAATTAACTTTCATAAACAAGTGACAAATGAATAAGTCATATCAAGATTCTATTCTAGTATTTTACTTCGTTCAAAAAACAATCTCAATAGCAGTTTACCTTTCACAAATAAATAATAGGTGAATAAGTTATAGCAAGATTCTGTTGTAGTATTTTATTTTGTTTGAAGAACATTTTCTGGAACGATTTAACATTTACAAACAAATGAATGATGAATAATACATACGAAGATTCTGTTCTAGTATTTACCTTCGTTCGAAAACAATTTCTGGAACAGTTTATCATTTACAAAGAAGCGATAGATGAATAAATCATAGGAAGATTCTATTCTAATATTTTATTTCGTTCAAAGAATAATTTCTAGAACAGCTTAACATTCACAAACAAATGATAGATGAATAGGTCACACCAAGTTTCTGCTCTAGTATTTTATTTTATTCAAAGAACAGTTGCTAGAACAGTTTACCGTTCACAAACAAAAGATAGATGAATAAGTCATAGTAAGATT